CTTCCCCCTCTCCCCCCTCCCTGGCCAGGACCGGGGCTGCTCCGAGGGGTCTGGAGCTGCAGGATCTGGGTAGTGTCCCCTTAGCGCTCCCGGCAGCGCCTGGGGCTCGGCTGAAGCCCGGCGTGCCGAGGGTGAGGGTGGGATGCACTGGGCTGGAAGCACCCCGGGACCCCAGCGAGCTTTGCGTTCCTAAAATCAAAGGAGTAGAAAACCCACCCCACCGAGCTGATCCCAGCTCTGGTGTCCGCTCCTTTTCTTTGGAAGGAAGGAGAGAGGAGCATCCCTTGAGCCCTGGCAGCCCAGCCGATGGGTTAGAGCTGTCCCGAGGCACGCTGGCCTTGTCCTGCTCTGCCCGCCATGCTCCCTGCTGTGTGCCGGGCTGTCGGGTGGAGGACGGTGCCGGCGAGACACGGCGCGCTTTGCACCGGGCTGCTCAGGGCCGTGCGGGGGAAGACGGGCATCTGGAGTGGCAGGTGTCCCCGCCTGGCTCGGGGTGCAAGCGTGGCTGCGGGTGCAAGGGGCTAAGTGTGAAGCTGGGGCTGGGAACAGAAGGTCCTTTAGTCCCTGGGTGGGACTTTAATCCCCAGCCTGAGACTGGTGGAGAGAGAGGAGGGGCTCCTTTCCTACCCTCCGCTGGCTCTGGGGTCTGTAGGAGGCTGCCGTTACTCCCTCCCAGTCCAAAGCAGCTCCCTGCATATTTGGAAGAAAATCAAGGTTGGAACCGGATCAGCTTGTCAGCGTTCCAGCACCTCTCAGCTACCGAGGGCTTAACTTTCAGCGAAGTTTCCATGAACGCAGGAAGCACCAACAGGCAGTCGGGCAGGAGCCCCGGCTCCTGCGGGAAGGAAATTCTGCTTCTCCCAGCCGAGGAGAGAATGTTAGTGGAGAGCTGGTCTGGTGCGCGGGGAGGAGAGGCGGTGAAGCATTTGTGCCGGGGCGGTTGCAGCGTGCCTGCCCGCTGCTGAGCCCTCGGAGGGTTTGCTGTGCTCCTCGTCCTTGCTGGAGGACGGGCTGCGTTGTGCCGTGGCTGCGGAGGATCGCGTTGAGCTCTCTTTGGCAGTCTGTAGCGCTGGGCAAGCCACGTTTCGCGTCACGTCACAGGTCAGTCCTGCTGGAACCGCTGGCTTCGACAGCAGCAAGTGGCGCAGTGGTAAATGCCGCTGTTCCTGCTCTCCACTGTCTGCACGCTCGTTAACACGTCGCCTCCGAGTTGTGTTTGTAACCCAGCCGTGGTTTGCAGGTGGAGAGGAGCCGGGAGGCAGCAGGCTGCCTCTGCTTTCGCTTCGGGCTGGTCTGGCCGAGCGCGTCCCCAAGGCGTCCAGCATTCTCCACTGCCCGTGATGCTACCGGGGACCCGATGGAGCCGGCACAGGGCTGGATGCCGGGGAGCAGGGCTGCGGTCCCATGAGAAAATGGGGAGAGGAAGGGCAGTTTCGGGGCTGCGAGGTGAAGTGTGGGGTCCACGGGGAGGGGACGGGTGTCACTGTGCAATCTCCACTCGTTGCACGCGGTGGGTGCGAACCCTCCGGCCTCGCTGGCTCCGTCTGCCCTGCCAGCAAAGGTTTCGTCTCAGGTGGGTCTGGCAACACACGCTAACCATAAAGGGTCCAGGGCTGAAAGTGGGCACCGCAGCCGTGAGCAGACAGGGTTGGCAGCGGATGCTTCGCAGGGGTTTGGGGATGTCTTTGCTAACACGTCTAACAACTTGCCCTTAAATATCCTAGGCTAGACAAAGCCTCTCTGAATGATGTCACTCTGTAGCCATTTCAAAATATCTTGGAGGCACAAAGCATCATTTTAATGGAGGATGAAGAGTGATTATTTTTATGTCCTTAAAAAAAAAAAAATCAGGTCTAATGAATAGAAAGGCCACTAAAACTGGCTTGGAAGCCAAAATGCATTTCTTACGTAAAAATGTACAATTCTCAGTGACGTTTGTATCACTTCTATACAAAATGGTTTAAAAAGAACAAAATAAAACAATCTGTGACATTTGTGAGTGTTGCTATTTTAGAATTTATTTCCATAAGTAATTTTTTTCTTAAAGATGTTTAATAGTAATTCATATAATAAAGTCCGGTTGTACTCTTAACGCTGGTGTATTTTGCTTTTTTGCTTCCATTTCTTTACAAGGGGGAAAAGAAAGAAATCAGGGTGGGGAGGGAAACGCCAGCTCTAGCTGTGCCCCCCATGGCTGCAGATGCCCAAAAGCCACCCTGGCTCAGTGCCTCTCTGCTCGTGTCGGTGCAGAATTTGCATCCAACAATTTTCTTAAGAGAAAGCAAGCGCCGTGGGAGACCCATCACTGCTGAGCTCCTGTCTCCATCCCGGAGCAATTCCTGCTTCCACCCAGCAGGACGTTCAGTTCAGGAGCAGGTCCTCTCCGGTGTCTGTTGTGGGAGAGCACGAGAAGAGCACCGGGAGCGAGCGAGTGCCATGGAGAGCCCAGGATTTGGGGAAAACCCTGGCTAAGGATGCTCTGGGGACACCCCGTCCCCATTCCTCCCTGTTTCACCTCGGCAGGCAAAGCAACGCCACCCTGAAGCACGGTGGGCACATGGGGCACCCACTGCTCCCCTCTGCTGTCCCCATGCTGGGGTCTCGGCTGGGGTCCAACGCAACGGGCTCCCCTAGAGTCAGAGGCTGCAAGGGCAGCTCTGCACCGGGGAAACCGTCCTGCACCGGGTGTGCTGGGGAGCAGAACAGCCAACATGCGGGGTGACCATGCCCATGGGTCCCTGTGGAAGCTCCCAGCGTGTCCGTGGCCAGCTCTGCGTGTGGGGACCTGCCTTTCAGGAAAGAGCGGAAAAGGAAAAATCCTGTGGCTTACCCGCTTCATTCTGAAAATAACAAGCCTCTCGGGGACGGGGTGTGTGAGTTTTCTTTAAACTGTTTCATTAGCAATCGCACAGCAACTCCTCCGCGTCTGTCAAGCAGGCAGTCTGGCTCCTTCACGTCGTCTCCTGGCGGAATGGGAATGCGTTATTATAATGAATTATTTTTGAAATACGTGTTATTTATCTGCAGCCCTGCACATTTCCGCAGCGTGCCGAGCTGGCGGGATCGCCGGGTGTGTGAATTTGGAGAGCGTGGAGCTGGACGGCGTTGGTGGAATTGCTCCTGAAGGGGCTGGTCCCCGCATTGCTCCCATAGGGAATTCCCTGCTCGGCGCTGGGCTTGGCTTCCCCTTCCTTTCACGTTCCCTGCAATGGGCTGGAGGAGGAAAACTTTTGGTGAGAAAGTCCTCGGTGGCTCAAAAAGCAGCACACGGACCCGCAGACGAGGGGGGTCTGTGCCAGGTGTGAGGGAATGGCCCCCCTC